CTTACCACTAAGCAAACGATTTATTCATCTGGTCACTTGATATTATAAAAAAAAACTAATAATGCTGAGGAAAATCCAAGGAAAGTGGAGTCGTGGCAAAAGGAAAAAAACCAAGCATTTGAGAGACTGGTTCACTCTAAGCACACGTTACATCTTTCGTGCGGCAGCTTCAAAAATGAGGACAGCCATGATAGTCGCCAACCTTCGAAGAGAAGGGGCACACTAAAAAGAAGTGCATTAACTACGTTAGTATCGCTACGTTACACTCCGTTTTCTCTATGGGTAGTTAGATTGATACATCGTGCATGCACTAAACGACTTTCAACAACTCGCCTTTCACACGTAACTATTAATTTCGACTCCATATAGGTCAAAAATGGTCAAATTTTAGTTAAAAGTCCTTACCATAGCGCTCTGACCCCTGTTTTGCAAAATAGCCTTTACAATTCTTTTCTTTTAAGTCTATAATAACTTTCAGGGACCATCATAACTTGACCTTAATAAAAGCGTGTAAAAATTACTCAAGGCTATTAAACTCTCGTGCCCTTCTAGTTTAACGGTCACTCAATACGGTAAATGCAATTAAAAACATCTCGTTACTTTAATTTATTACATAAATTTTTGGGAACCGCTCCCTCTTTCGGTACGTAAAACAATGAAATGTCAAATATGTGAAGCTCAAGATATTATAATCAGATGTATAAGTATATAAAGGGTCATTTGTAAAATACTAACAACCTCGAATAACGACGAACAAGTCGTGTGCCTGGTGGAAAGCGACACGCCTGTCCGCAACTGTCACACAGCCACTCCGAGCTTTAAATCGATCTGAGGGGCACTCCCACTGAGACATACATAAGTTGACAAGTCCCATGTGCCTGTAATTTCACCAATACCCTTCTTACCCTTTAAATCCGGAACGCAGTAATGCTGACATTACTGCTTGGCGGTAGTAATAGGTAGAGTGGCAGTACTATCCCGGATGAACTCTTTCACAAGGACCTGAAGGAGCTCTACTGCTACTAAATACATAAGCAACAACCTTTGTCCCGTGACAAGTAACTAAAGCTCTTGTGTTATGAAACCACAAACACCCAGACCCAAGGCAATATAGAACGGTTATTTTCTACATTGGACCCGGCCGGAATCACAACCCGGGGCCTAAAAGATGACGAGACCATGAGGTGGTCATAATAAATTTATCGAAAATAAACTTTTAAGTTTTTTTGTACTATCTGACACTTTTTAGTTCTGTATTTAGCATTAAGTACAAACGTGCAAGTGTCCACCCTGACGACCCCCACTTTCTTTTGTTACCGCACAGAGTTATCACCTTTTTGTTTTTGTACGAAAGTATTATTAAAATCATCACTTAACAAAAGTTCATGTTAAAAAACCTCGCATGAGTAATATAGTCATGCGAGATTGGTAATATGTTACAAATAACCCGGTATTGTTAAATACTAGTTCAAAAATGTAACAATTTCCTAACAACTACAACATTTACGTTTTGCTTCAAAAACAATAAAGGTTCGACTTCAATATATTACTTCTACAGGAATCAAAATACGATAGTCAAGTCGAGAAGTTTCTATTACTTGGCCTCGATAAATATTTGTTTCTTTCGTGATATGAAACTGTCTTTTCGTATATATTAGAATCAATTTTAGAAGAGAATTCGTGATTCTCTTCAATAAATTCACAAGGTGAACAGAAAAACCAAATTCATAATTATTTTAATATTTCCGGTTCAATGTCGATATTGTCTATTTTAAGCCTAACATACACTATGCTACGTTTGCTGCGCAATATCACTACACGCAACGTAATGCGCAGCGTCACACAACGTACACACACGACGCGCAACTAAAATGAGCAAGGAGAAATTGCAAATAAAAGTTGTGCGTGCTTTGGCGATATTGAGGAGCAATATGATGCGCAACAATGTTCCCTGATCAACACAAGACTTGAAACGATTGCAAGACATTCAATCTAAAAATAAAAGTCGATCGATTGTACAAACTTGACATTTTAGACTTTGGATCATGGTTATCGTAAGCTGTGTTGAGTCGAATTAAAATCTTAGAGCGTTTACACATGGCGACTTACTTGCAGTAGCAATAACGCACACACTATAACGCACACACTCAACATAGCCCCGCACTAGGGAAACCCTGTGTCGCGGGTGCCATGGACACACACATAGACAACCACAAATTACACCCAAACTCACGAGAGAAATAAATGTAGGCCATACAAATATTTCTCCCGGCCCGGGAATCGAACCCGGGGACCTCTGCGTGGCAGTCCGGTATGGTAACCGTTCGGCCACGGAGGCAGTAGAGCAGCAATGCAGTAGCTAATCGTCTGCCTTTACGTGTGTAACTATTGCACACGCGCGCGACTTTAAATAATAAATCCCACGAGTAGCAATGCAATCGCGCGTTTGTATCGATGCAGTCGCGCGCGTGTGCAAAGGTAGACGATTGACGACTCCATCGCTATTGCATGGCGTTTGCATCGCTACTAAAAATCAGTGTGTAACCGCTCTAAACTATTGCATCGACGCAATCGATGTATGGATGCAGCCGCGCGTTTGCATCGATGCAATCGCCTATAAATCACAAGCGTATTGATGCTGCTAAAGTCGCCATGTGTAACCGGTATTTCAACGAGTCACCGGAAGGACAAACGTCGATAAACAGTCCTTAATACACATTAAACCCTCTGTGGAATACACAGTAGAGGCCTGCCCTTTGATCGGCCGCATAAAAAAACAATAATCCATCATTCATTCTAAATAGTCTTCTTGTATCTTTGCAATTTTTCTGCAATAAATAAACAGTTTTCTGTGACCCGCACCGCATCTCATCGTGTTCATCATCGCCCGACTAGCACCATCAGGTGAGTGGATCTCTACCGCTTTTAAAAATTCCCTTTTGGCTCCCGTGCTAGATATTCGCATTCTATGCATTGTAACTTTTGGCTATTTGCACGCCCTACCAGTCTCGCTAAATCAAATGGTTGGGCTCATTGACTTACAATTATATGGACGTCGGGTCCGCGCTAAAAAGTGTCCGCACTTGTAAGGCGCTAAAATCGTATACAGAGCGCCAAACTCCGCTTTAGTCTTCATTTGTTCTACTGACAGCGCGATACTGCGATGACATTACAATTTAAATTTCGAATAGGTTGACTTGGGACATTTTTTTCGTGGTTTTTGTATTAGACCCGTCGTCCATTTATTTGTAAGTCAATGGTTCGGGTATATAATATTAATAACAGTTTTAAAAAATATATACGATACACCTATGATTATTTTCTAAAGAATGTGCTAATTCGTTACATGATAGGATGTACTTTATCCATCTAGTATATAACCATAAATAGAGACGAAATGTCATTTAATTTGTTTGAAAACTATTCTGCAATATCATTACTGTGACAACTGCGCTTCGATTGGCTAGCCCGAGTTCGAAACAATTGACGAGTGTCGTCTATTGTTCCACTTCAAATTGACCAGTTAACTTGAGCTTTGCTATAATGGCTGAAACTAATATTTAATTAACGATGAAATTTGATTCCGTTTGTTTTGTAATTAGATGTTTTGCTGTTTTTCCCCACAACACCGAATGGAACTGCACGCCATTGTTAGAGATATTATCTTTATTACAATACAGAATATTTTTGGAATATATGGAGACGTACACACAGGTCAGTTGTTGGCGCTGTCTATATTTCAGTGCAAACGAGAGTTGATATTTATAAGTGATGTATCACTGATGAGTTACCAGGAATGTGTGACCCTTATTTCGTCTCTATTTCTAGTTATATACTCGATGACGTTACCCGATCACATAAAATCCGGAAAACAGGCTAAAATAGAAGTCCGAAACGAATTATTTAAGAATAAAATATCTAACTTTGCACATAATTTTTATATGGAGATCTTTCTTTCTAAGTACTACAAAGAACTTGTTAAATTTTGGTTTTCAACTGAAGCCCTATTAGTAATTAAACTCACATTTATCCCAAAATTTGAAATTGCCCAGCGGTTTAAGGACACGCTGCGCCGTCCACTGCCCCGTCAGTCGCCATCAGGCGCTTGTCAACGTCGCATCTGTGTCAAATTTTCTCTGCCTGTTCTTATTTTATTCATAGCGTAGTGTAATTAAGTAATACCTCGCTTAAGTGCCAAGCTTGACTCTTGATTTTTACCAATATATCTTACTGGTACAGTTCTGTGTGTAAATTCCACATAGAAAAGGTCTACATCCCTTCCTATTTCTACCTCAAAGCTGTATTGTTATTTTCCAGGTCGGAAGGGAAAAAAGTAGCTTTTCTAAGGATAATAAAATCCAAAATAATACTACTATACTCGCATAGTTAAACGTGCGTTATTAGGTTTTGTACACAGCAACATAGTCTCTCAACAATAGCAACGTTGTAATCTCCAAAATTGCGATATATATTAATATAACGCAATTTATCTCTAAAATTTCGCTACATTTATATGTCATTCGTATACAATTTAACTTCAAAGTGTCAGGACAACACAGTCGCTTCGAAATGAAATAGGTAATATAACTTTTAAGCAATTTTGAGATAATACTACCTTAGTTGTCATGTGCGATATATAAAAATTTATTCATAGGCCATTAGGAATGGACTTTAGTTAAAAATACTCCCCTCAAATATAATCTAACATTGAGTCAGTCCATATTTCGTTATAAAATTGTCTTATTTATTATTAGGACTCATTATAAGTTAGTTAACTAACGGCCATAATTATCTTCAAGGTTTTTCATTTCCCCTCCTTATAGGCTGGCATGAAAACATTGTGACGTCATAAATTATCGTGTTTGTAACGGAAAATATAGATCAGAAATGTTACTCTACAAAAAGCATTCAAATTACACTCCTCTTAGTATATTAACCACTACTAAATTCGCTTCGCAAGATCAAGCGGGATTTACAACAAAAACCACCCAAATCAACGGAACATTTTAATACAAAATAAAAAATTTACAAATACCTATCACTTTTTTTGGTAGCTCTCTCATACAAAAAGCACGATCAGCAGATCAGTCTGTGGCACCATGTTCTACTATAAAAATTGGAATAACTATAAATCTACTGGTGCTATATCTCATCAGAATCGGACCTTATTGAGTCGTAGTTAGACGTTTTGCTCCTAAGCATCCTAAGGAACGAGCCAACTGCGAATATTGTTCTCCTATGCCTGTGAAATATACCCTGATAGAGTGCTTCCCTGAGCGCTTTCCTGTCATCCGTTATCGATGGCTGCGTAGTCAGGGTTATGTCCGAGTGAGCTCCAATTGTCTTCTGATGCCTCAACCCGCTCTGTTTCTTCTCCAAAGACTTTTGATTAGGCAGGCTCATTGTCGACTCGATTGACGAATTCTTTGTCTTTCTCAAATTAAGGATTTTCTTTCCAGAAGACTGAGATTCTGATGTTGACCGACTAGGTGCTAGTTTTGATCTGTGTAAAGGATTATTTGATCCTTCTTGATGGACCATAATTTCGACGGATTTCTGACTAACGGCGCTCGACCTCTGCAGAGGCCCCCGGGAACTGGTCGGCTCCGGTTTCGGCACCTCTTTAGGCATAGACTGCTCCGCTTCTAACGCAATCATTTTGACACCAATCTAGTAAGGTCACGGATGATCAAGTTCAATTAAGCCGACAATAATCTAAGGTCACATAGGCGGTCGCGACTCATCAACGCTGTCAATGGAGGGCACGGCCAAATAGACGTCCACGGCGGAATTGTCCGGCGAATCGCTTCTGCCACACCCGTCACAACAATTACTAAAGGTTATATCGGGCACTTTAGCATCATCGTTAATTTTAACCGATTTCAAATTTTGTGCAAGACAATCAACAGTGTCGGATTGGTTCTGAATGTTGGGGTCATCGGAGTTTGCACTCATAATCGAATCGAGCCATACCTTATCTTCTGCCTCTTTTTGCGTATCCTTGTCTATGTCAGGGGATGCACCATCCTGCGTTGGAGAAAACCCTTCACCATTCACTCGTAACCCGATTAAATCGGCTAAATTAACATTGAAATTTTTATTATTTTTTGTACCAGCTGTTTCTATTTTTTCAACAGCTTTGATTTCTTCTGTGACTATTCTATCTGTGATAGTTTCGATTTCTTCGTGCAAAGCTTGATCCTCCTCGTAGAATTCCGAAAGATTTTGTAGGCGTTCGAACCAATTGTCCTGCAGAATACTGACTGGTGGGCAAGCTTGGTGGTCATCGGCAACCGCTTTCCTGTACTGATCGATGAGGGGTCTAAGAGACTCCTCGTGCTGTTGGAAGAGTTGCTGGTACGTGTGACTCACAGCCTCTAACGAGTAGGCCGAGCGGGGTCGCGGCAGCACTGTCGCAGAAGAAACTGCCGCGCAGCCACGCCAAACGTGTCCGCGTGCTCTCCCACACTGTATTGCATTAGAATTAAGAATCCTTTCAAAGTCCGACACTTGCTGGGCTTCACATATCTGCAACAGCAATTTATTCTCGGTCTCTTTCCCGCAGGCGGTGGTCGCGCACAGCCTCTTCTTGTCGCTGACCTGTTTAGGAGGATTAGAAGACTTAGTTCTGTCAACTCGCTCGTTATTATATAAATATTTGGAGGTCGAATGTGTGTGGTTCGCATATTTGGTCGGTATAGATAGCGTTTGAATTGAAACCGCGCACGGAACTTTCTCAATTATTTTTCGGTTTTGTTGTTTGACGAAAACTTTTTTAGTTTTACGGGGCTTAGGTTGTGGGAGAGGCTGATGGATGAAGTGTTTGTCTGGGTAGCGCGAACGCTGGTCCGCGCTTCGGATGGTGCGGACATATTTGGAACGAGGGCGTTCTGATAAGGAGACGCTCTGGGCCCGCAGCGGAATATCGGAACGGGAGTCCTTGGGGATCCTAGCGATGTTGAGAACGGCAGGGTCATATGCATGATAGTTGAACGGCACCATGTGTAAGCAAGAGGACGCGTCATGTGCTCAGGGCGTGCGGGCACCTGGCGAGTGCGGTCTCGAGTGACTACTCCCAAACCGTCTTGCACCGACTTTTCTTCGAAAATTCTATAGAGGTGAGCGTAAAAAGTAATTTATCGTCGTAGCGTGATGGGGCCGATCGATTGGCATGCTCGGGGCCATTGCCTAAAATAAAGATGCGCATCAAATTTGCCGAATGTGTATGCACGATTACTTACTGTGAAATGGGAGTTTTATGTCGTTGACAAATTCTCGTGATTTTTTTGCGTATTTATTACTAGTTCTTCCGATGAGTAAATCCGAGTATTTTATTGTTGAGAGTCACGCAAATTTTTCCTATTAGAAGTCTTTCATTTGTCCTTAATTTGTCAACAAGGTAACCCAGAAACGAGGACGAATACGCTGCAAACAAAATTCGATCTAAATTGTACCTCAACCCAATCTGCCGTAAGCTGAATTGACTTTCCTTCACACCTATTTTCTTCTACGGTAAGGTAGTTTGGGCATTAAAAGCAAAGTTTGCAAACCTCCAGGTTCGCAGTTAGTAAAACTTTTGCCTCACAAATATTCTTTCAATTTCCGACAAAACGTTTTGAACAAATGGAAAGAGAGGATAGGAAACAATTCGACTGTAACCATCCAATTTGTCCGCGATATTTATCTTTTGAGGCTTCTGGGGAACGGGAAGCAATTACCAGAATATTACGGGTTGAGTTTAAGCAAAATGCTTTGTAGTACTTTTATCTACGATGATACTTATCTCTATTATGTCTGAACGACCTAAAACACGAGTTATCAATGACAGTGTACCGAGTCTAAAAAAATTCTACACGTTGTAGTAGTCCATTGTTCGTCACACGGCTTGTAGCCATATATATATAGGATTATTTTTTAAATACTAACAATCTCACAAGACTGTATTACTAACATCATAAACAACAGTTTTTTTTTAAGTTTATTAGATTTTACGATGTTTTACTACCATGGTATTCAATTATTTTTTGTGAAATTACTCCACTTGCTTATTATAATTATTATAACAAAGATCTAAACACTAAGAAAAATTCGTTCGATCAGGTTGCATTCAAACCAGTTCTCAGACAATCAGAAACAGAAAGTAAAATTTTTATTTCATAGGTAAGCAAATTACACTTGAAATCGTCTTAGTGATTAAACTCTACTGGTCATTCGTAAGGCAGATTACTGAGAAGAATGAGCAAAAAACTCTTGAGCAAGAAGAAAACTTCAACACCGTCGCGTAAACAAGTCTGCAGTCTGCGAGCATGTCATGGATAAACCTACACATTCAATGAAGTTTGACAAACCCCAGGTCCTTGCAAAAGAAGTCCGTTATCTACCCAGGATGCTGCGAGAGGCCATTGAAATTAAAAAACATCCTAATTTCAACAGGGAAGATGGTTTCTCCGTACCACCAGTTTGGGATCCAGTATTTCCTCTAATGAAAAATCCCAAACAGACATAAGACTGCAGTACTAATTAATATGTTTTAGTTTATTCTAATTTCTATTAATAATTAATAATAAATTAAACTTAATAAAAATTCATTCAATAAAATAATTTGTAAAACTTAATGTAGCGTAAATTGGAATGTTTTCTTTGTAAAATTAAAAATAAGGTATTTAATTAATAACTATTGTAACTATAGTGAAAAAATAGGGTGGTTTGCATTAATATTAGACATAACTGGTTGAAGACTGTACCACCTCAGTCAACCGTGACCATGGGACCTGTAAAGGGCCCGAAACGTCGGTTTGTTTGAAAAAACAAATATACGCGATTTAAATCCGGAAAAATAGTTTCATTTCCTAAGAAGAAAACTCTTTGAAAGAAACTCTTTGGGTTGCTCTTTGTAGATATATTTTTAAATACATTTATCATTACAATATTTAATTAAATATTTATCGAATTGATATTCAATTATTTTTTGTGAAATTACTCCACTAGTTTGTTATAATTATTAATACAAAGATCGAACACTCAGAAAAAATTTCTTCGATCCGGTCGGATTCGAACCGACGTCTTCTTGCATACCGTGCCAGACGCTATACCAACTAAGCCACGGAACGAACCAACGGACCTCACGAATTTTTCTATGTGCTTGCGTCGTGTCTTTGTACTTGGTCTTTCAACGACTTTTTAGTCGTAGCGCCATCTATGAGAAATCTATGACAGATTTATCACCCAGTTAGTACCTTTACAGCTACCAGTCCTGGCGAGAGATGTCGCTATTCACTGTATTAATTACTAGTTTGTTATAATTATTAATACAATATTTAATTTAAACATCTTAGATCGAGACTACCTGCAAGAGATATACGGGCCACTACCACGGATTTTTGTCATGTAAAGTTTTTTTTTTCACAATAGTTTTAAACCTCGTAAATGGGAAATTTCGAATATCAATCGGAATTTTATTATAGAAACGTATACTTTGTCACTTAAATGAATTTGAGACTTTATAAAGACAACTGTCAAGAACAGCTAGTTTTTTTTTAATTCCTCGTGTTAATGTTATGTCACTATTTTTCATAATAAAATTAAAATTATTCTTAACGTAAATAACATTTTACGCTGGTGTAATCTCTCTAAACGTATCTTTGAAAGACACTCTAGACTCCAGATTGTAAATTGCACTAATCGCACTTTTCTGCAGGACAAAGATTCTATTAATATCGGCGGCATTACCCCAAAGCAAAATGCCGTATGTCATTAAACTGTGAAAGTAGCTGAAGTAAAGACAGGCCGTACGAATCATTCTGTATGCTTGTTGTTTTTTGTTTCTGACGACTGTTTTGTCGTATCGCCATCTGTGAGAAATTCTTCACTCAGAGAGGTACCTTTATAGCTACCATTGATGACTAGAGATGTGGCTTTAATAATTGTACGTTTTGTTGTACTGACACTTTTTAGATCTGTAATTAAGTAAGGTAAAATAAGGTCTTCCGCGACAACTCCCACCCCCGTCCTGCACAGAGTTAATACCGTTTAGAGCGATCTATTAAAACATTTTTATTTTTGTACAAAAGTAAGATCTGATGAATTATATAATAATCCTGAGAAGTTGTTAGTATTACAAATAAACCTCCTATATTATTAAGACGTCGTATAAGACCTTTTCCGACTTGCCTACAACCGTAGGGCCCGGATTTTAATCGGATGGATCGGATCCAGTGGCAGAGTACTGCGCTCCGGTTTTGAAGGGTAAGGGTGCTGGTAAATTACTGACATATGGGACTTGTTAACTTATGTCTCAGGGTGACGGGTGCAGTAGCAGTGCCCCTAAGATCTTCGTAATTTAAAGCTCTGAGTGGCACTGCAGCTGTTACGGACAGGCGTGTAGCTTACCATCAGACGCACGACTTGATCGCCCCGTCACTTGATATTATAACACACACACACACACACACACACACACACGCACGCACGCACATGCGCGCACTCACACTCACACATATTCTCTCTCTCTCTCTCTCTCACACACACACACACACACACATACACTCACACACACACACACAAGTTGGATACACATTACATACTGAAAATTTTTCATTTTATTTTTAATTTTTATTAATTTTTTTATTTTTTTATTTTCATTTTTAATTTTTCCAATTTAAATATCATTATATCTTAAAACTAACCCA